ACTAACCCGGAGGAAACAAAAGTAGAAATCCCACGTTCGGAGCAGACTTTCTCCTCGACGTTCGTGTGACATACTTCAGTCCGTCAACTTTCAATTTTTTCCATCGAGCTCGAAACTTTCAGTAAGACGACTCTTCACCACTGGAGATTAGAAGACATCTGTGAATCCACCAGAAATATTACATTCAGATTGATGTAAATTTTCTCTCTCTCGGTTCATTCGAGGTAGAAGTAACTGGCTTATCGATAGATATATTTTAATCTCCTTTTGTATGTAATCGTCACTTTATTTTGCTCACTAAACTGACGTTATTTAGTACATTCTTTTCAATCGGATCGGTTAACTCTATCGACGAATTTACGACTCGCCCCTCTCGAACGTGAATTGAGGTATAGTTATAATTGCGAGTTAAGACTCGAACTCAAATTATCGTAACTGGTATTAGGATAAAAATGACACAAGATTTTCCAATGTTATGTCAACTACGAGTAAAAGCCGTCCAGTAACAAAGTGAGCGGGCCTGACCGTTCACACATCGCAAATAGGTGATCAAGTATTAGACTTGTCACCGCAGAATCCCACGCTCGATATCACTGACATACACCACGTAATCGAGATGTTCCATCTATTTCTGCGTGATTTCGTCAATCAAGTAGATTATTATCGAAAATAAAATAGGAATAGCTAAATGAAAAGTAAATCGAATATGCGTTGGAATAAATCAGCAATAGTTTATTATGAGATCCGGAAAGAGGAAAAGGCAAATTTAAAAAAAAATTAATAAAAAATAATATTTTAAACTTCAACGAATTTCCTAAAACGGATGTTAAAAGAAACTTTCGATTTTAGAAAGGAAGTTGATATCCTTTCCTACGGCCGACTCGTGAGATGAGTCGAGCTTTTGCACACGCTACTGGGCTGTCAAGGAAGGTCGATATAAAAGGGACATTTTTCCGCCATTCGGGGAGTCTGCCATTCGAAGTGTTCTCCATACGATATAGAGTCCGTCATAAAAGTCTGTCATACGAGTTCATTAATTGAAAGTCATACTACAGATTCCTCCATACGATGTATAGAGTCCGTTATACTACGAGACCGTCATAAGAAGAGTTATCCTTAAAAGGAAAGTGCCATAGAAAATATAAGAAGAAGTATATCCATAATTAAAGATCCTCCTATATTGAAATATTGAAAGACCTGGGAAGGTAATACAGTAGAGCCTCCGACCCCCGATTAACCGACACCTCGGTGTCGGTTAATCAGGGGTCGGAGGCTCACCGCAAAGGGTCAACTTTGCGGTGAGAAACATTACCAAAAATGGTCAGTCATCTCCCCAGGTGATGACGCATTTAATATTAATTGGTCTAGAGATTTCTGCATTGTCGTCACCCACGACGGGGGAGACTGTCATAAATCGGGAGAACTGACATATTGCGTCAACGAAATCCCAGATTTTTCCCACGCTAAAGGTTATAAAAGGGGAACGATCTGTCACATCGACAGCGATCGTCGGGGGAAGAGAACGCAGTGGACTACTCTTCCAGAACTCTCAGGATCTACGAAGCTCATAATCAACGCTCCATGAAAAGATAAAAGACTTTGAATATTTTGTATTCTCTCCATATACGACGGAATCACTCCTCGAAGAGGTTAACAAAAGAAACCTCCGAGAGAACTTCACCAGAAAGAACTCTCTACAGATTAGGAGCGACGGAACATAAACCGCATCTGGACATAACCGCACGACCTGAGAGGACATCGCTCCACATAGCCTTCAAAGGACACCTCGGATTAGAAGACGACGATCACAGAGTGTTTTATCAACGCCCTATAATATGAGAGCGTTTCCTACGAGGTAAACCCTTGCCATAATTATCTCTCTCTCCAACGTGTGGTCTCTTTCTCGATCTTTAGGCACTAGGATAGGTTAGATTTTAGAATACATATTTATATCTCGATACGCGTGTGTTTGTATTTATTATCTCCATGTATAATTATTTGATGTTTTAGTAAATGTGTTATTTATTTAAACTTGTGTAGTCTTTTGGACACCTGATCACAGCTTCGGACTCCTTCCCACTCATATCTTTAGCCCTCCTACAGCCATTCTTTGACAGCCAAGCCGGTAAGTGGGGAAAAGCGCTCCGCTTCAGCCCCCTCGGTTGCACAAAACTGATTAACTGGTGTCAACATCCTAACGTGATCTAGACCTTACCATCTAAATCTTTAATACTTTGATGTCTTGTCCCTGTACATCATACTTTTCCTTTAGCAATAGAGTCGTGCCGGTCATCTAACACCTTTCCGGGGAAAATTTTTGAATCGAAATTTCGTGACTTATAGTCTATAAGTTTTTTAAATTGCAGTTGAATAAATTAAATTAAATAGAACATTTAAGCCGTTAATTATTCATAACTTCTACCTCAGTTAGGAATTAGCAAAAGCACTAGTTGTAATGTCTGGGCTTTATTCATAAACAGCTTACTTGTCCAGGCAACAATAGAATAACACTTATTTTGATGATATGAAACCGTGCTTTACAATTTGTTTATGCTTCTAACACAATAAAGTGTTATAAATTAAGACACTTGGCGGGTTTTCTCATCTTTATTTAGTTGATACGTGTGAAAATTTTTACACGTTTCGAGCTCTTAAGCCCTTCTTCAGCCAACTAAAACATTAAAAAAGAATATAACATACATATAAAAACACAAGTATTGTAGAAATCATAAAAATATAAAACGTACTTTTCACTTACAAAACAGTTCTAAAAAATCTATGATCTAAAACATATTCTGGACTTATTATATAACCAATATAAATTATAAAACATATTCTTGATATAAACATACACTGGACAACAACTATCAAATTGGTGTACAATTGATTATGCTTTCTACAAAATCCTTATTTCTTTTGNGTAAGTGAAAGGTACGTTTTATATTTTTATGATTTCTACAATACTTGTGTTTTTATATGTATGTTATATTCTTTTTTAATGTTTTAGTTGGCTGAAGAAGGGCTTAAGAGCTCGAAACGTGTAAAAATTTTCACACGTATCAACTAAATAAAGATGAGAAAACCCGCCAAGTGTCTTAATTTATAACACTTTATTGTGTTAGAAGCATAAATATAGAATAACACTTGTTAATTTTAAATAACAAACAGTTTTTCGAAGTTAGCTAAAAGATGATTTTTCGTAATTATTTTATATTTTACAGTTTTAATAATTAATTTAATTAACCATTTAACTCCTCGAAATTAAAAATAAATGCGTGTCATTTCTTAATTCACATTTTAAAAACTTTTGAACAAAATTATTTCAGTTTTGAAGTTCGTTTCTTTCAAAATAAACGTAATATGGAAGACATGATGCGACTTAGAATTGTTTAAGTTAGAAATTCGCCTATTCGAAAATACGTCTGTAGTTAAAGTTTATTAGGTGATAACTATAAATAAATAACAATTAAGTAGAAGATCCTACTCATTAAAAGTAAATTATGCTAATTAACCGTTAAAGAATTAAAAATATTTATTATTGCTAACGAGCTTGAAATCTGCATTTGTTATTTGCTATTTAAACGTTTTTTCCGTCAAATCTGCTTTATCGGCTTTTATCAGAGAGAAATTTTAAAGTTACTCGTATTATTTTTAAATTTATTGTTTGTGTTATGTGAAAGTAAACAGTTTATTTCTCCTAATCGTATTGAAAACAGTCGTATACATTTTTAATTTTAATTTGTCGTTTTTATTTCTTTTGCTTATTTCGTGTAAATATTATTCATGCAGTCCTACTTCCTATGTTTATTACTGAACTATCTGCAAGGACTCGCTTCGCTGGGCAAAAAGTAACGATAGTGAAGATTAAGATAATTACATTATAGCCAATCTTACCCGTTTTCACAGAATGCAAGAATTAGGTCCCCCGTTTCCAGACTAATTATAGAATTTTTATGTCCAGTCAAACGAACTATTTTCAACGTTTCTGGAACGTTTATAATCGTTCTATAATCGAACCAATATTCGAATTTTATGTTCGAATTTAATTCGAACAAATTCGAACAGAACATTCGAATAGAAAACCACTCTCAACCACTTTCCGTCCCATATCTCCCGCACCCTTATAGCTATCGAGACGCAACCACCCCTATGCACGAATGGAGACTTGGGGCTACCACCACATACAAACACCATTCACGTGCGATGTGTAGTTTTGGCGGAAAAGTGAAATATAGGGACATACATGTCCATATATATATATATATATATATATATATAAATTTACTAAATCGTTTCATCTGTGCCAGATTTCGTATACTTTTAAATACTTATTAAAGTTAAACAAGAATTATTCCTATAAATTAGTTAATTTTGAATATATTTTAATAATAAAACCTTTATCTAATATTTACGGAAAATTGTCATTAATTACTTCGAAAACTGCATTTGTTATTTGCTTTTCTCCACTGTCAAATGTCAGCTGCTATTTCGAAAGCGTTAACAATGACGTGTAGCTCATTGTAAATACAGTATACATTAAAATAAATATTACAAATAAGTAATTTTAATAAATTATAGACTAAAAATTATATTTCGCTTATTAAAGTTTGTTTTTCTTTACGCTTTTTCCTTGAAAAACTCGTTTAAATAATCTAAAACCGAAGAAGATAAAACGAATGTCTTCTTTTTCGTCTTAAAATCTTGTTTAGTTCTGTTAACGAAGGGTTCAAAATTTAAAGAATGTATATAATTTCTTTCAAAAATTTTAAAAAGACTGCTTACTCGAGGATAAATTTTAAATATTTCAAATGTTGTCAAAATTTAAATAAAAAATTTATAATTTTATTTTTTAACTTTAAAAATGTTTTGAAAAAAAAACGTGTGTGGAATTAACTGGAACAGATGCAAATATCGCGCTGTACAGTACATTTATGTGACGTCAGACTTTACTTGTATATGTTGAAACATACAAATCAGAGTCGTAGAAAATAATTCGTCAGTTGTAATTGAAGTTGCAAATTACGCATTCTCTTCTGCTGTTCACTTGCAAGTAGAATCATGACGAAGTTCTTGCTGCCGTTTTTCATTTTAAGTACTTATTCATTCATTTTCTATTACCGATTAGTAAAATTTGTTCTCTCTGAATATTTTTTTGGCAATGAATTTATTGTAAAATTTTCTTAAAATTTTCTTTTAGGTTTAATTCCAAATCAACCCAGAAATTGTGCGTTGGGTTTGATTAATAAAGATATTTCACTTTCTACATTGATTGAAAAGCTTGAAGCAATACCTTCTGTAAGTAAAAACTCTTCTTTAACGCAAATAATTAATTGTATATTCTGTTTCAGTACGTATTACTGTTAGTTGTTATACACCCTTGGACTCGGTTTATACTTCGTATTTCTTGAGCTAGAACATTTACGTACTAAATATCGTATAAATAGTCATTTTTTGTGCCTGGACGATTAAGTCATATTTCTTACAATAACGTAATTAAAGTGTCTTTGTAATAACGACAATTTAGTCTATATAAATAACAACAACTCAAAGCCCGAATAGTAAATAATAAATTACCAACCGATCGCCTAAATATCTGGCTATAATTAAATGATTAGAATAAAGTAATTTGACATTAGAGGTAAACGTTAGGCGCCATCTCTTAAGTGAATTAATAATTAAAATTAAATAAATAAATTATTAAATAAATTTTAGAACCTTCTGGAATAATGTCAAATTACTTTATTCTAATCATTTAATTACATAGTATAGCCCGATATTTAGGCGATCGGTTGGTAATTAACAATTTAATGGGAAAATTTTTTCATTGAATTCTTAATTCTGCTTTAATTTTTAAATATTTATTATTATTTTTGTAATGCAAGATTTTAATAAAGGTTTTTGGGGATTTTTGAATGTAATTTTGTCGTGATCGAGATGGGACGTTAAAGGAAGTAACTTCTCTCGTACGAAATTAATTAGAACAATCATTACTTCCCATTAATTTAGAAAATGCGTTAGTAATTAAGAAATTTACGATTCGTTTTTAATTGTACTTTACGTGTTGTAAGGTGAATCAAATAGATTTTTCTATAGGCTTTTTTTAACAGTTGATACATCATTATTATTCATTAAGTAATTGTAATTTTTAATTAATGTCCTTACAATATCAATGGCCTCTATTTTTCGGTAAATTTTTATTGTAAGATACGTTTAATGTTGACAATTCTCTCCATTAACTAGAAATTTTACGCACAAATCTTGAAAAGTAATTAGAGATTCTCTTTTCAAATTTCAATCTTTCTTGATATTTTCAGAATATAACCACCGGGTTACTGATATGTCTGAATTCGAGTACGGCTCCTTCACTCGGCTGTGAAAATGAAATAAACAACGGAAGTACAATAATGTGGTGCCTGCTAAAGAAATTTTGTTACGAGGAAAATAAGCCTAATGTAATCAATGTGGTAAAATGTCTTTCAACACTATTTGGAGTTATTGTATACGATTTATCAAAAGAGGTTTTCGATGCATATGTAAACAAAGTATACATATGTGTTAATGGTATTTACACCAATATCCGTACCGGAGTGACCAATTGTGATTTGATCTATGGCGGTCTGTCATTAAATATTCAATCTGCTTTGAATAATCTAAATAAGAATCTTATCTATAGTACAGTAAGCAATTTGGTAACGTTATTGAAAATTCTTAGTGGAAATATGAAATTAGAATGTACCTTTTCACGTTAATTAATATATCGAAGTATTCTTGATATAAATTTATGAAAATGCAATACAGTGTTTCTCAACGGGGGCGATATCGCCCCCTGTGAGCGTTTTTCCATGTTCAGGAAGCGATTAGTAACAAATTATATTTTGGGGGGCGAAAAAACAATTTTCTGGGCGATATAGTAAAACACAATATTAAGAATAATTAGATATTTTATTCGTTATATCGTACAATAATTAAACAAATAAAATTATATAGTCACTACTCTATTCGATGCAGTACGAATTTGGCATTAGCCTTGCCCCTCGGTATCGAAATTTTGTAGTGAAGGGGGCGATACTGAGTAACGGTTTTATTGAAGGGGGCGACGATTTTTTAGAGGTTGAGAACCACTGATGTAATAAAATATACATTAAATTTGATTGCATACAAATATGGATTTCTGGCTGATTTCATTCTTTTCCAAACAAACATTGATATACCTCTTTGAGAATTATCTTAATCGGCTAAAATTTTTTTATGTCGCGTTCAACACTGCAATATCCACACGCGATATGGCAATATATGACATATATTGCCACATTCACAATATAGCACAAAGAGAAACAGTTGTTTTAGCTTAAATGCATTTTTACATTCTAGTTGTTGCATGAGTTCATGAAAGTCTGTGCAGAGCTCATTCAATCAGCCGCATGCGTGTTCCCACTTTTCGAGACTCGAAAACAAAATATAGTGTAAGCAGACGAGAACGCCCCTCGAGTCGAGAATTCCGTATTATTTCGGAAACACAGAAAACCGTTCTACCTTGACACGTTTCCTCGCCCGTCAGCTGCATCTGATATGGGTCGTAGAGATAAAGTATCGAGGAGAAAAAGAAAAAAATAAAGAAACCCAGAAGCAATTTACCGAAAAAAATTATTAACGACAACGAACAACTATTTATTGAGATATTACCACAATTTTAATAATTTTTTCATTTAAAGTATATGCTGTCCACATCAAATTAGTAATGTCTTTTCTATCTACATCGTTTTTTTTCCTGTAGCAATACAGTCGTGCCGGCCTTCGAGAAGAAAATGTTTGAATTGCAATAACGTAACTTCCGGTTTTCCTCGGAACATCCTATATAGCCTCCCTCACTTCTTTTAAATCTTGTTTGTTTATTAATTTACGGCAACACAACACAACACAAATTATAAGTAATATTATAAAGAAATTTTAAATAAAAAGCACACCGTGAAAATCCATATACATCACATCTATTAGATACGCCACGGAATCTAAATCGATGATCTCTCGCTTGGAGCATACATTCACTCATACATTTTTGTCTTGGATGTCGCGATGAATGACACCCAGTTGGGGCATGCGACTGTAACTTCCACAACCTGTCTAAATAACATCAGGACAAGCTTCTTGGCAAAAGTAATCCTTCTGGTTAATTCTGTCTTTTAATTTTCCATCTAGATTTTTGTCAAAATACAAATTCTTTTGCGTTTTGACTAAACTAAAACACACTTCAATTTTACGGCTCGAAAACGTCGCCGTACATATTTATTGTTTGTAACAGTTTTTAGAGTTGATATAATTGTTTATTGTAATTTTCAGCGAATAAGCAAGCCAATAACATTGCCCGTTTCATTTAAAACGAATGACGTCAGTTTTTTGCTTATCCGACTGTGTTAAAGTTAAATTACATAGCAATACCTCACTGGATACGATTTAATTTAAGTAATTTTTATCTCAGCCAACGTTAGCCTCTTTATCCTCATATTTTCGATTATTTGTTTAAATAGATTTTAAAATATTTACGTAGGCATTTACTTAAAAATAATGTTTACAAATTATTTTTATTCTTATGATAATCCAGACTTTCTTTACTTTTCTATTACTTATCTTAGCAGACGATGTACACGATTTCTTAATAGTATTCCTGCGGACAAGATATACTAGAATAAGGTAATAGACAAGGATAGAAATTCGACATTACAAATAATTGTGCTGACCCCGATCAAGTATAATTACTTACTTACTTCATGATTAAAACATTCTAAAAATAATTAAGCAATGTACCGATTGCATTAAATCATCGAAATACTCTATATTAATTATATTTTACTAGTCCTACATTTACCTGTTAAACATCATCTTTATTATTATTTAATAATTGTTTATAAGATATAAACGATGTCTTTATTCATGAAGATTTGCTTCTTTTTTATAATTCTAAATAACACTTTCTCATCTCGCTTCCTGTAAGTGAAACGTTGTACACAAATCTACTTACTATTAAAAATGAGCAGAGTTCAAACATGGATGACACTGAAGAAATTAATAGATATAAAAATTATAGAAGATATAGAAATAATTCAAAAGCTCATTTCGGAAATTAAAGCGAAGAGAAAGATCGAAGGTCTAAAAAGTGGACACATAAACAGGGATATACGTAAACAAGAAACCACCCATGTTTGATACAAGTGCAATAAATGACATCATAATTGTCGGATACTGTTCAGCGATGTCTGCCATCTTCATAATCGGATTCTTTATCCTCATCAAATCGAATAAGCGCATGGTAAAAACTGTGGCATCTCCCGAAGACACCATCAGATGACAGAGACGAATTAGTAAATTGCAAGCAGAAAAGATGAAATCGAAAAGCATCGTCCATACTGAACCTCCATCATCTATACAAATACCATTGAATTCTATAAAGAAACAACAAGATAATCAAGGTTAAAAATTTGCATGAAGGACGAAGACATAACGCGTAAGAAAGATACGAGTATTAAACGTTTAAGAAATTATTTATTTATAATTAAAAAGGGAATTTATATGCACAGAAATGTTATAAACTATGCAGTTAGATATGTGAAATTATGAAACAATAATTCCCAAGAATGCAGGAATATGCATGATATTACAAAAGATAAAACTGTCTCTTTATTAAAATTATTATAATTATAAACATTTAACAAGAATGTTAATCTGAAGAGTAAATTTACATCTATTATAAATGTTGTTGGTACGCTGAAATTTCGTGTTCAGTAAACTCTGATTTCATTGCATTAATGACTTTAACGACTTTTATTTTGAAGTTAAACATATTTCAAATTTTTCCAATTAATCTGTTTCTATGAACACAAAATAATATTTGAGTCAGTATTTACGAAAGTTTAACTCCCATATTCAGCTTTAGTTTGACAAATCACCACTATTGTATTATGATCGGATTAGGTCGAATTATACGAATATATGTCATATTATGTAAAAAATGTGATTATCTATCATTTTCTGAGGTGGCATGATTTATACAACAGTCTGCTATCGAAGCAAAAGGCAATAACTTTGAATCGAGTTGAAGGAGGCTGTGCAAATATAAAAAGGGTGAACGTATGCAAAAAACGGCTCGTTATTCATTTATAATGTACAGTACTTTATTGTAAAAGAAAGATACAGTATTTTGTTCGATTTATCAGTTTTTTACACTAAAATGAGTCAGTGATAAACTCCACACAAATTTCCACAGAAGGAAGCTCGAAAATTCCCTTATGATCAGATGTATCCAGAATAAATGAGATTATGTATTTTATACGAAGTACTCACAATATCTAGAAATTAGTTAGAACAGCTACTGGCAGAAAATTGAAAACTGAAATGTGTATAATATGCTTTTAGTTTTAAAAGGATCCACTTAGTTTTTTTATTCTTGGACTTCGAACTCAAATGAGAGTTATAAATAAACACTTGGCTTTATTTCCATCACTTTTTAGTTGATACGTGACAACAGCACGTTTCGGGCATAAAGCCCCTCATCAGTCAACTAAAAGATACAATTTTTAAAAATATTACATAAAATATCTAGTAAAACAGAATTAAAATAATGTATATTTCTTACCATATTCATTTTTAATCTGTTATACATACAAAGTCTTAACCCAAAAGACACACACAACTTATTTTACAATAAGTGGAGTAATTTCATTAGAATTTGCTAGAAATGATCTTTTACATATTTGACAATATCCAGGAATCTTAGACATAATCACATATATATCTCGGAAGAGAAATAGACAATTTTTTACATTATTGTTTTTTAACCGTATCAGCGTTACATACTGCATTGCAGTTTTTGTACTGATTTGCATATTACAAAGAAAGATATTATTAATATTAACAACAGCGTAATCTTTATAGATAATTACAATCGACAATAAATGTATATTGTGTGTATTATAATATTTTCATCTAGTTCTCATTTATTTTTACACTTAAATTTTAATTGACATAATTTTTGTCTGTTAAAATTGAGACGCTTTCTTTAAATTTTCTATTATACATATTTTTCTCTTCGTATAGGATTTTAACATTATTTTTATCTATATCTATAAACAATGGTCATAAAAAACAGAGTTTAGTCGATTATATTTGAAAACTGCAATATGTTCTTTTACTCAGTTTGCGTTTAGTTTCTCCTATATAGTAGTTAGTTGTATTAGAGGTACACCGGTATTTTATACACTACGTTCTTTGTTTCTTGTTCTTTATTATGTACTTTATTAGGTTTTATTACTCTTAATCTATTTTCTAATGTTTCGTATTTTGGGGCTAGTTTTGCGTTTATATTTTGTAAATCTTTGTTGATATTCTCATATAGTCCTTTTATATATGGAAAACGGATATATTAGTTTATAAATATATCAGTTTAGTTTGTATTATGTAAATGTCACGGCACGCCACTTGTATAACGTAGGTTTCGAGTAACGGACTCTGCGAACAACGGACTTTTTGTTTGGCCGTTACGTGACTCCAGCAAACTGGCCTCGAATAAGTGCGAATGATGTTTCCACTATTTTGCCGTTGCCAATGACAATCTGCTATTTTTGTAATATATTAGTATTATTAGAATATATTATCAGTATATCTGAAGTACAGAGCTCCCGTTGGGATTCGGCTTACTCCCTTGTTTATTACGTACATCACCTCAGTGCAGGGTATTTACATTTACATTTATTCAAGTGTTGCGCAGATCATGGCTTCTAAAAAAAACAGAAAGGTGATTTCAATTAGAACAATGCAAGAAATCATCAGAAGGAATGAAAGTTGATAAAATCTTTCTTGTCAAATGGG